AAATAGAATCCTTGGTGCAACTATGCTTTAGTAGTAGATATATTCTTCTTAATATGAGTTGAGAATCCTTTCTTTTTTTTAGAGAGTGAAATTTCCATTTTGTCCATTATTTCTAAGAGAATATCATAACCACTTTTATTGTCTTCCAAACAATTCTCTTTATCACGGATTCGCTTTCGTACACATTTCCCTGTCCCCTTTCCTGCAACATTCCAGCTACAAACTACGGGTATAAGGATTTTATAGAATATTCACCCAAGAACTTGTTACCATAGCAAGAAGCATCCACTTCAATGAGGAACGTTTAAAGTCTCTTTTTCTGTTCCAGCATAGTTTCATAGTATTCAACATCTCCAAACTTATTTTCACATCCATCAACATCTAGATATTTCTCTTTGGTGCGAGTGCTAGAAGAAGGCCACCACTACACCTACTTTCTTTGACAAACGTGCTCACTTGATAGCCTTTATTGGAATAACGCAATGAATTAAAAGTAAAGCAATCATCAATGCAAACAAGGAGAAACTGCCTAAAATCAGACTACTCAAAGTGACCATATAAATCTTCTTAATGGACCCAAACAAAGGATTTGGCATTTGAGATTAAAGCATAAGAACCAAATGATGCAGAACTAACATTACAAGGATTTTTATAAACTTCATATAGGATTTTCGACTGAAAATTCTATAGAAACAACATGTACCAGGCAATGATCTAGATGAAAAGACTTGTCAGTGCCATCCTTTAAATAATATGAAGACCACAATCCGGCAATTAATGGAAGTCATAATGCTTCAAATTGATATGAAAGCAACAACAACAAGTTCCTTATTCGAGAGATGGAAACTTCATATAATTTTGATTGCTTCAAATTATATGACAAATGGTCCCATTTTGCCAATTACATCTCCATCTTGTGCATAATGTTATATTCCTTTTGGGCCACTTAAGTTCAAATCCAATCCATCATCATCTTTAATTTAGGTTTAAATTCACTCAAGTCTAGCTCTTCAGTGTTCTTTGTTCAAATCATCTTGTCAGTATAAGTTCAATTCCATGTTATTTTATTCAATTCAAGTCCTCGTCATTGTATTTAGGTCAAGTTCATAGGTTCCTACTTATTTCAAATTCAAGTTCATTGTAATTTGTTTGATTTTGTCGAGTTATCAATTAGTCATTTAAATTATGTGCCACTTTGCACTTTATTCAAATTCAAGTCCCTGTGTTATTGAAAAATCTGGCAGCCTCCCAATGTCTCCCACGTTAAGGGGAAATTCCAAGAGACATAGCCTTCCCCGAATGCTACGTGAGCACTTCATATAGGTGTCAGATGACACTGCGACTACATTTCTTCAATCCTTGCTACACTACTTGAGCACTTAAGAGCCTTCTGGGTATCTGTTTTGAAATTGCAGTTTTCTTTCCCCTGCTACGCTACATGAGCACTTAAGCGTACTTAATTTCATCCTCGTCATGCTACATGAGCGCTTCAAGGCTTACCCGTCTTATTGCATATCACACCGATTTTCCTCCCACCGTGCTACGTGAGCACGTAGGAAGATCTGTCACTCGTCCCAAGCATCTAGTTTAGGTTTTTTAGTTAGAAATATTATACCTTAGCACGATGTTGATGGTAGTGGCAAAATGCACAAAATCACTTCATCATTTTTTTATTTTCTCTTTTGTTTTTCTTTTATTTTTCTATCCCTTTTTTTAAAATATCCCTTCCTCCTTTTCTTTTCTTTTTTGTACTCCTTTCGTTTTCTTTTTTTTTTAAATAACAATAATAATACCATTAGTATAATGATAATATTAATAATATTAATATTATTATTATTAACAATATTAATGATATTATTATTAACAATAATACTAATATTATTAATACTAACATTAATAACATCATTATTGCTTCAAATAATAATAATAACAACTTGAAAAAAAAAATTACCTCTAAATCTCTGTTGGCTTGATTAGAGGAGTTCGGCTATAGCAGGGATAGGGAGAGAGGAACACAGACAAAATGAAAAGAAAACGAAAATAAACAGAGAAAGAAGAAGAAGAATAAAGTTGCATCCACATTTTTTTTGGAAAAAATTTGGGCTTTGCCCGTATATAAAAAATTGAAAAGGTTACATTGTGAAAATCAAAATAGCCTCAAACAAAGAAGAGGCATGCTCAAAAAGAGCGCAAAAAAAGAAGCTCACAACCCAATCAGAATTACATCCAAAAACTCAAAAAAGAATTCAACAAAAAACTGATCACTGAAAGGAACACATCACAAAACTCGCTGACTCTCTGATGTCCGAATAGCACTGGAAGAGAAGATACTGCACGAGTCCAAGCGGCAGAGGAGATGAGTCTGAAAGCTCCCTGAACTGGATGGAAGGCATAAACCTGCAGAAGGACAAAATGCAGGCAGAAAAAGAAAGCAGAAGGACCAAACAGAAGAAGGGCTCCCAGCCAAAGCTAGCATGGACTCAGGACTAGAACATTATACAAAAACAATTTCAGAAGAAAATATTCCCCTGGTTGCCCAAAGGCCATCCAAAGGGGGCCTGCTACGGGAGCTTCATCATTGTCCAGGCTAACACAATTAAAAGCAGGCTTAAACCGAGGGTCCCAACGCGTAAGCTTCAGCAAAGCAACATCTAGAGAGGATACCAGTATCATAGTAAATCAACAATAGCATAGCTACATTTCCACTTTAGGATTTTAACCAGAACAGCTTTCTTTATGTTCACAGATATAGAGGTAGAACAACTCATAGCATTGCCAAATCTCATATTATTCTTTTCTTTCCAAATGTAATAGATAGAGCAGCTAGTGATGAGATGATCTAAAGATTTTATCTGATGATTCACTTGTAATTCACCACTAATCCATTCCTCAAGATGAAGAATCGTGGGTCTAATAAGAAGCCTCTTGACAGGCGGTATTAGATTCAAAAGAATAGCATAGGAGAATGAGCATTCAAAAAAGATATGAGAGACGCTCTCAGGAAAACAATGGCAAAGGCTACAGGCTTCTGGAACATGAATGTTCCTCAACAGTAAAGCATCTGCAGTTTTAAGACCTCCAACCACAGCAAGCCAAGAGAAACAAGAATAACGCAAGACAAATTTATGATGCCAAATCAAATTGTCCCAAGAACATATCTAAAGAGTAGAATATAATTCATTAACAAAACAGCTAAATTTACCGCCACTCTGATTATTCCAGACTAAGCACTAGCTAGAGTGATCAAGAATGGGGATGCTAAGAATCTTGTCTCGGAGATGAGGGGCAACAAAACCTGGAATGGACCAAATTTTATCCTCAATGAAATCCATCAATTTAGCCTGAGGATTTTTGGCATTCAGGAAAGAGTACCCATCAGATGCATTTACTATCTTTTCATTATAAAACCAGTGATCCCAATGTAAAGAGATAGGAGCAATGGGAGTGATTTTAAATTAAAATTTATCCCTAGCAGAGGCAGCCGTTCTGCAAAATGATTTCCAAAAAGTGGAAGAAATGGTAGAGGGTGGACACCGATGGGAAATATATATACTAAATAACCAATTAGATAATGGAGATTTAGCATTATAAATCCTGAGAATAAGAGAGCAGTTAAAAGAAAATTGAGTAGCTTGCATAGAGAGCAGCCCCAACCCACCATTCTGCTTGGGAGTGCAAACTTTTTCCCAGATATCATATGGATTTTCTTCCCAGCATTCAAGTCACCAAAGAACAGAAACTTAGAACAAGTTTTCTTAAAATATTTGTGTACAATTTTAAGTAAAATAGAACCACAAATCCAATAAGCAATAGAATTCAAAATAGTGTATCTCAAGAATTGTAATCGGCCCGCAAAAGAAAGAAGTCTGGCTTTCCAACCCGAAAGTTTTTTTGAAGCATTATCCATAAGTGGCAAAAAATCAGCAATTTTGAGCCTATTAAAGGACAAAGGGATGCCCAAATAAGCAATCTTAGAACTTATATTATGTATGCCGAGAGCTTGACAAATTTCTTCCAGATCAGAAAAGTTTCTAGGCAACAAAATAGAGCTTTTTTCTAAGTTGACATGCAGGCTAGAAGCTTCAGCAAAATCCCCAAGGATTTTTGATAAATTTATACAATTTTTCGTGGAAGCTTCTCCAAATATGAGAACATCATCCGTGTAGAGTAGGCGAGTGAGAGAAAACCCTTCAAAATTTATACCTTTGAAAATACCCGCATCAAGCAATGATGAAAAGGCATCCATAACTAAACAAAAGAGATAAGGACTAAGAGGGCAGCCTTGCCTGAGGCCGGTAGTGGTGGGAAAATAGCCCTCAAGAGCCCCATTTATAATCAAGGATAGATTAACATCTGAGATACAGGCTTTTATCCAGCTTACCACAATGGAAGGAAAACCTTTCTGCAAAAGTCTAGCAAGTAAAATTTCTCTAGAAACAGTGTCAAAATCTTTTCGAATATCCAATTTTGCAAAAAAAAAACTTAACATTTCCTTTTCTTCGAACCATAGAAAGGAGATCATTCGCAAGAATGATGTTGTCTGTAGAGACTCTAGCTACCCTTGATAAAACCAGTTTGATTGTCTTTAACAAGAGTTGGCATAATAGGCTTAATCCTATTAGCAATGACCTTTGCAATGATTTTATATGAAGTGTTGTATAAGGCAATAGGCCTGAAATCCGACAAATTCTCTGCATTTTTTTATTTTGGAATTAAAGTAAGAGCAGTAGCTTTAAGCCCACTAGGAAGATACCCTTTAATAAAGAATGATCTAACAGCTTTAACAACCAAAGGGCCAACATTATGCCAAGCCAATTTATAGAAATGAAAGTTAAAACCATCAGGCCCAGGAGAAGAAGTTGAGCACCCCTTAAATACCACCTTTCTAATCTCCTCTTCAGAAACAGCTTGAGTAATATAATTTTTATAAAAATCAGGGAAACAAACCCCAATAGGAAAAATGCTAACATCTAAAGTAGAGGGTGGAGGAGGGTTATGAATGGCTTGAAAGTGCTGAACAATAAAATTTAACTAGACGAAAGGATTACATGGATATAAATAGACAAGAAGCAATACAGAGGACAAATCCTAGAGCTACACGTGTAAGACAAAGTACAAGGCTTCTTGGAAACAGAAGAGCCGACGTGGATACATGGATTAACACAAAATAGATTCAGCTTAAAAAAGATAAATGGCTGCACCAACTAAAAATTCAACGTAAAAAACAACATAAGAAACATTATTACATCCACAGAAAGTAACAATTTATGAGCCATGCAAGGCCATTCTTATTATGAAAAGAATATATTAATTAAATCCAAGCTTCTATGACATGCTGCAACGCCTTGATGCGAGTTATATTGCAGCGAGTAAAGCCAGCTCTGAGAAGTAAGCTTCTCCATTCCTTCTCAGTTCTTTCTTTACCTCCATACGCCATCATCATGATATCAGAAGCAACTCTTGCATGATGAAGCTCATGATCCTTATCATCATCAATAATTATATCTACGATTATTAGCTTACCTGATTCTGGATTAATGGCTTCTTTGCATTTCTGAAGAATGTCCAGTGATTTTTCGTCACTCCAATCATGTAATATCCTCTGCCAACAAATCAGGAAAGCACTGATGGTGAGAATTTATATATACAGTTGGAAAACAAGACAAAACCAAAGTGGTTATGGATAACAATTAGATTTTTCTTTTTTTAAACGATCAAAAGAGGTCTGGACAAATTGTGATATGAATGCTTAGTTTTAATTATGCTTGTAAAAAAGAGTCCAGATATTCAATGCATAATTAACTCCTAAGAAACATAAAATTAATAAATAAATATTGCATGTGTATATAATGCATTAAAAGATATAAAATTTCTTGTATTTTATTTGCTTATAATTTTCCAATTTTTTTAATGGATAAATATTTTGCTTTAAGTGTTAATTTAGCTTCTTGATTTCCGTTTGGATCTAACTCAAAAATAATTTGATACCAATAGAATTGATCCTATATGACCCATTTACTAAATTTACACTAAGGGGTTGTTTGGTTGCAATTGCATTGTAAATTCATTTCAATTGCCCACCACCCGATACTACCACTCAACCACCTCCGACCGCTAGCCCCAGCCACCTGTTGCCATCCACCACCGCTGACCATCACCGTTTCCGACCACTGCCGTAACCTGCCCACCATCGGTCACCGACCACTATCATTTTTTACATTTTACATTACATTCATTTTATTATAAATCAAATAAAAAAAATAATTTCATACATTTCTTATACACTCACCAAACAACTCCAAAATAATTTTTTTTAAGTTGCATCTTTTTTTTTTAGACAACCAAATAGCCTTTAAATGAAAAATTCCTAAGTCATGATGAGTTATTGTCATCCTATCATAAATATATAAAGAATGAGTCAAATTTTTTAATAGATAAAAAATAAGTCTGAGGTGTCGATTCAAGTTCACAGGGTAGCTTCATGTTTGGGTCGAAAATGATCTGACACGAATATCGTCAATCATAATTGACTCATTTATTAAACGAGTTGAATATGAATTATAATGAAGCTTAATATGATTAGCATGCCGAAAACTATCGTTGATGTTGATCCAACCCAATTTTTTATTATTTGTAATTTACCACTAGAAGAACAGCATCTCCTTGCGGCACTTCGACAAACATGTCGCCTGCAACGAATTCGACTCCATCACTCCCCACCAATCCATCCACCACATGAGCAAGATCAAGAACCAAAATCCTAATCCCTGGAAACCGTCTTCTTATCACCCTCGCCACCGTCCCCATTCCCCCGCCAACATCAACCATCGTCCTCAACCCTTCAAAAACCTTCTCCGCTCCTTCCACCATTGCCGCCGCCGTAATCCTCGCACTCTCCGCCATTCCCTCATTAAACTTATGACTCAGCACCGGGTCCCTCGCCGCCTGTCCAAACACCGTCTCCCCAGTCACCATCTCGAACGCCGACCCTTCCCCTTCTCCCCCACTCACGCAGACATCCAGCGCGTGAAACGCTGCGAGGAAATCCTCGTCGAGGAAGATTGTGATGAAGGAGGCGAGGCTCTGCTTCGAGGTTGTGACGAGGAAGGCGGAGGATGAAGGGGTTAGCGAGAAGGAAGGGTGTTCATCGTTGGTGATGTTGATGAGGCGGATGTGGGAGAGGTAGCGGAGAAGGCGAAGGAGAATGGTGGGGCGGAGGCAGGGGGTGGGCAGGGAGGCGGCGAGGGAGGGGAGGGAGATGGCGCTGCCGTGGCGGTGGATGGCGTCGAAGATTTGGAGTCTTATTGCGCATTTCAGGACGAGTGAGTCCGTGATGGACAATATTTGGTTCCAGACTAGAGCTTGCCCGTCGAGTTCTTCTTCCGGGCAGGTTTTATTGCTTAATTCTGGCATTTTTCCTTTGATTTTTTTTTTCTTTTTCTGTGTTTGGTTTGGTAGGTCTATTGCTGCCTCTTTCTTATATAGATGAAAAACGGTCGGCCTGCCCGTTTCCATTTTACAATTTCCATTTTACAAAATATTTAAATCACTTTAAAATTAATATTAATTTATTTATTAATATTTGAATATTTACAAAAAGTAATTAGAAATTATTGGCTGAGCATAGCTACTAATTCTCTTGTGAATTATTCAATATTTTTTTAATTTTATTATGTGTTAGAATATTCATGATAATATTTTTGTTAATGACTGAACATTATACATCTACAGAAAATCACCTTTAAGGAACGGTATCTTCATGAAAAATTTTTTGAAGGGAAAAACTGCAAAGAGTAGACTAATTGAAATAATTTTGGTATTGTAAATTAAAATTTATAAAGAATATCCTTCATTATTTTCGGGTAGGAACCGAATCTGATCTTTCATCAACTCTCGACTCAAGTAGGGAAACGAGTCATAGAACCATACTCGAACCCGACCCGGTTCAAATTCAAGTTGACCCGACATGACCTGTTATCCCGGGCAAGAGTGAGCGAGTGCAGGGCCGGAAGCGTTTGAGTGAGGCCAGAAGGAGAGCAGGCGTGTTTGGTAGTTTGGGCGAGCGAGCAAGTGCGTCCTGTTGACGTGAGCTCAACGTTCAGCGAAGCTGTGAGGCGGGCGAGCATGAGTGCACAAAGAAGGACGTGCGACGGTTGGCGGGTTTATTTCAGGTTTTTGGGTTGACTCGAACCCTATTCGAATTTGCAATCTGGTCAGGATTTGAAAATCAAATCCAATCCGTTTTTCAGAAGGGTTGACCCGAAACCAAAATTTTTAAGTTCGGATTCTTCTGGTTGAGTTTTCGGATCGTGTCAAATATTAACACCCCTATTTCACTCATATATTATAGTTTTTTGAAAATTGTTATAAAAATGTTTAAGAATATATTTATTAATTTTTTATACTAACATTTTGATATAAGCTTTTTTCTTTTTAATTTCGTTTTTTTTGTTATTTAAGCAAACAAAGAAGAGTAACAATAAAAATGACCTTTTTTAACTCAAAATTAGACGCTTACGTGCCCCTATAGAAAAAAAAAACAATTAATTATTATTATTTTATTTTTGTTTTTTCTTTTAATTTTATTTTATTTAATTTTTTGAGAATTCACCCTGGCAGTTTAGCTGGGGCTGTATCTTCTGCCGTGCGCTTCGCATTTGGCGTACCACTTTGAGTAAATGCAGGACAGATTTTAAGCTATTCTTTTTTTATTTTATTTATTTATTATTATTATTATTATTATTTAGATTTTAGGCTATTCTTGTTTTTAGCTTTGTGCCCCATTAGGCTGTATTGAGCCTTAACATTGTTATTTACTTTTGGTTTCTTCTTTATTTTATTAAATTTGGTTATTTAAATATGTTAAAATATAACTATAGTTAAATCGTATGCGCTTTTATCTGTAATTCAACTTAGAATATATTTGGGACATCTTTCTTATTATTCTACTTTTCAGATCATAATTATTATTTATATTTAGTTATTATTTTCTGATTGCTTTAAGAAAATTTTATATCTCAAAAGCTATTTTTATAGTAATTTTTTTAAAAATTATATTCTCCATAATGGCTTTACAATTATATTTATAAAAAGTTGTAGTTGTCTCAAACAAACACTTAGGCTTCCTTTGGGATGACTTTTTTATTATTTCTTATGAAAGAGTTTTAGTACCAAAATTTTAACAATAAAAAAGTCCAAACGAAGCCTTCATTGAAGTATTATATGCATTAAAGCTTTTCTATTTTTTTTTAAAGCTCATGTTTCAGCCAATCTCAAAAATGCATCTTCCAAAATAGCATTTTAAAGGCAAAAGTTTAAAATAGTGCTAAAAAAATGTTTGCACAAGAAAGTTTACACATGCAAAAGAAATTAAAAAAAAAAAAAAAAAAATTGAAACTACCCAACTCTTAAAAGCAAACATAAACTATAAAAAGATACCAATATAAGTTATGGCAGGTTAATCTTCTCCTATGATCATGATCCGCCTAACAAAAATGCGTTGTCTTTTTTTTTTTTTTTTTTTGAAAAGTGCAAATATGCATTTAAAGGAAACAAAGACTAATTATAATTGATAAAAGGGTAACATTCCTCCTTGATTAAATCTAGCAAAGAGGACGGAATGCTACCAAAAGATAAACTATCAAAAGTAAAACTACCATCTAATGTCAAAGTAGCACAAAAATCAGCTACTCTATTACATTCCCTATTAATACGATGAAAAATGATTTTATTGAAATCATTAAGGAAGAAAAGCTCCTTGATCGACCAATTCTCCAACTGCCAATCTAGCTTCCTCAAAGAATGTTGAATGAATGTAATCACATTGATATTATCACTCTCAATGATAAGTCCTTTGCTCTCAAACATCCAACTTTGGATGAACCCCCATATCGCTATAATTGCCTCCATTTCAAGTTGAGCAACATTCCAATGTACTTCTATTCTTCCCAAAAGCAAGAAGAAGTCCACCTTTGCAATCTTTGAAAATCCCTCCAATACCAGCTTGATTAGAGGATAACAATGACGCATCCACGTTAATCTTGATCCAATCTAGCAGTGGAGGGAACCAAAATCTATGGGACTCCCAAGGGAGATTAGCACCCCAGCTATCTATATATGGATTAAATTTCAATGTGGCTAGAGAATAACATTTGCCGCCATCAAGGAACTAGACATAGCAACCTTCCCATGCTTTACTAGATTTTGGTTCTTGCATGACAGAAATACTACTGCACAATAAATTCTCACCATGCCAGAACTTCGGTTCGATCTTTTCCTTAGTTCCTCTAAACATTCATCCAGAGATTGAAACATATGAACAGAAAAAACCCCATTCTGTAATTGTAGAAAAAACCTCAATAAAATATTTGCAATGGACCACAATGTGTTCATAATTCTCAACCTCATGACATCCTCTAGCACAAGAGTCATCCACAGCAAGCCGTCAAAATTTGAGAAAATGATTAGTAGGAATAGTAAACTTACTGAGGCGCCACCAAAAAAGTTCCATTTTGCTGTTGAGCTTTAGATTCTTCAACCAAATACAAAAGCCACCATCATCTTCCTTACATCTACCTTTCAGCACATAATCATACGCCAACGCAGAAATAGATCTACCAGAGTATTTGCTCACGGTCTCCATCTGATCCTTCTTCACAATGTTATTAATATGTGTTTGTATGATTAAAAAAATCAGTTCTTCATGAAAGAACATCTTTAACTTCGTATCATCCCAAGTTCCATCTTCGGAAATGAGCTGTTGAACCATCTTGTCCTCCAAAGCTCCACAATCAGCAAAAGTCAGCCAAGCATTAAGACTCTTATCCAACAGCCAAATGTCACTTAATACATTAATTTTGTCACCTCTACCCACCTTCCATTTAACAATATTTTTAAGATGCTTCCCTCCATCTTTCATGATTTGCCAGACACTAGATTAACTCTTTTTGCAAATTCCATTCATGACATCATCACCATATTTAGTAATGATAGTTCTGTGAAGCAAAGAATCCGAATTCTAGATACAATTCCAAGCCAGCCTCGCCCTTAGCATTCCGCTTCTAATTACAGAAGATTGCAGTCCCAACCCACCTTCACATCTTGGTTTACAAATCTCATCCCATGCAACATAGTGCAATCCTTTCCTCCCATCCAGTTTGTACCAAATAAATCTCCTGTACATTATCTCCAGCTCATACAGAACTTTCTTAGGCACTAGAGATTGTGTAAGTGCAAAATTCGACATAGATAGTAATGAAGTCTTTAAGAGAGTAATTCTACCTCCCAAAGATAAAGATTTCTTACCCCACACATTCAATTTATCCATCACATGACTCAAAAGATCATGAAAATCATCCACACCCAATCTCCTTAAAGAGATATTAATGCCCAAGTACTTCCACTCCTTCACAATCTTGAATCCGATAATTCTAGCCACCTTCTTCTTTTGAGATCTTTTAACTGCTTTACCAAATAAAATTTGGGACTTGTTGATGTTAACCCTTTGACCCGTCCACCTACAAAACTCCTCAACAATTTTCTTTAATAATCTTGCCAAAGTAGTCGTTGCTTGTGAAAATACAAGCACATCATCTGCATAAAGAAGGTGTGTAATCTTTGGTCCTCTAGGAGATATATGAATACCCAGCTCTTGTCCCCTTTGCTCCAAACAAAAATGTGTAGTCTAAAACAACTTTTTAAAGGCAAAAGTTTGATATAGCGATGAAAAAGCTAACATCCAAGCATATTATTTTTATTAACTATTTTTCATACCACGAAAGCAATCAAAAAGCTATTCCAAACAAAGTCTAAATTGGAATTCAAAATTAAAACCAATGATTTAGAAGCTTATAATTTAATGTAAAAATTTTGGAAATTTTATTTGTGTCACACCCTGGGTCTGGAAGGCAGTACTCCTTATTAATACAGAATGTACCAAAGGTGTATTAACACAGAAAAAAATGCTAGGTATCATCTTACCTTAATATAAGTAATTAATCATTCATTATTTTCATCTCATGATATATATAATTTTATCAAACATTAAAAATCTTGTACCACTCTATGAACCCCTCGGCCTGGATAGCAATATCAAATAAGATTTTATTGACATATAAGTGTAAAATGACTATACATTTACAAGTAAGTTCGAATATATACTATATAAGTCAACATGATATTTATAAATTGTATAACAAATAGGATTTATAGTAGGAGCATCATTTATTGCATTTAATAGAGTCGATATGGATGAATTAAATTCTTTACAACAAGAATCACATTAATTGAATAGGGCCATATTCAGTTATAAATTAAGGTGATATTATAAACAAAATCTATGATAGTTGCATAAATAATGAATAATTATTAAAAGTAGGAAGATATTCTAATATTTAGGAATCTTATATAAGTAACAAAAAGAATGTGATGCCCCAAAATCTTATTTGGAAGAATTATTCTTTTTTCTTTTAATAAATTAACCAAAGCTATCTATTTTTTTATCAATATAAATATCAGCAAAAGTAAATCTATAGATCAAAGCATCAATATATACATTTATATTCATTTTTCAAAAAATATTATACTACTCAGGATCTATACAATCATATTGCAACTACTCTGTATTGAGTATAAAAGAATAGCTAAATTAATAAGAACCTGAATTTGAAGTATCATACTCAATGTCATACCCTTGTTCAGTTGCCTTGACATGAAATAATTTAACCACATATAATGAGCTCAAGAGCCCAACAAGTAACCAAATCTATAACTAAACTCAAAACATGACAAATGAGCAATATGCATGTTAATAGTTGAATCATAGTAATAACATTACTATGATCATGAATTAATACATAAAAAGTAGAATACACATGCAATAACAATAAAGTCTATAACTAATAAAATGATACAGCACATAAGCCAGTAAAATAGTTGTTGGCCTCATTATTCGAGGTCAATTTTCCTGGAATCGACTCTAGTACCTAGGTTTTCGTAGCCTAGTGTAGATGTCGCACCCATAGGATTTCCCTTAGGTGGACGCCTAATGACGTAGCATCGACTCGAACCTATCACTCAATTCGAATCAAAATCATTTCAATCCAATTTCAATTCAACTCCAAAACGAACTCAAATCAAGCTCAATTTATGATTCGTTGATGTCGATCGACTCAATCTAATTTATTTTCGATCAAATTGATGCATCATTAAGCTCAAAATTAACTCACCAATCAAATCAAAATCAAATCAAATTAACTCAAATTGAATTCGATTTCAATGGCTCCGATTAACCCGTTTTGACTC